AGCTATAAGGTGCTAGGGAACCTTTCATCCATCCCAATATCTACAAGAACCGAGGGGAAGCTTTAGGCCTTGTTCACACCAAATGCAGACCAGATCCGGTCAGGTTTCTGCACACGCAGTGTAGTGGGTTGTGCCGCGTTTTGGATGCGTTTAGGGCCGGTTTTGGTAAAAAAAAATAAAAATTTAAGTTTAACATGGACTTTCAGGCACTTGCATGCCTTTTTGCGTTTTAGATGCGTTTTTGATGCGTTCCAGACCAGATCCAGAGCAGTTAAAATAGGGCTTGCCGCATTTTTTTCATCCGGTCTGGATCTGCACGCTGCGATGTGAACTGGAGGTCAAAATACCATAGGAATACATTGGACGCAGTTTTGATCCGGTCTGCACCTGCTCTGGTCCGGATCTGCTCCGCGCTTGGTGTGAACAAGCCTTTAGGCTGCGTTCACACCTAAACAGCATTCTTGCACATTTCTACGTGCAGTTTTGATGCACACGTTTTTGTGAGCAGAGTGGAGCTCACTGATGTTGAGCAAACGCACGTAAAACGTGCGCAAAAACACAGCAAACGCGAGTTTTCAAACATTTCCTATTGAGGGCCAGAACGAGCTGTAATTTGCCAAAAAAAAAAAAAAAGCTACTTTTTCCAGCGACAGGCGTTTTGCTTATTGTGACAAAACGCTCAGATGTGAACAGGGCCATAGAAATACTGGGATTTTTTTGAGCATTTTTTAGGGCAGAAAAAGGAATACAAAACGCTCAGTTTGAACCCGGCCTAATATGCATGTCAATCATAAAAATGTACTTCTCTTATTTCACCTCTTTTGGTCTGTTAAATATATCACTGAAAGCATTTCTGTTTGACAAATCCGTTCTGTCCAAAACAAGTGAGCTCATCGATTGCTGTACACTCTGCCTGTGCTGCATGGTTATCAGCTGTCTGTTCTCTCTATGGACTACAGAACACCTCTCCATATGTTATAAAGAAAAGGAGAGGGGAAGTACCCTGTCGTCATCTCTCAGGGTGAGTGTGGCAGGTAGAAATGTCCTCACACAAAGTCTAAGGCAAGACCCAATACAACCATCTGATGTCTTTAAACCCAGCTTTATTCATAAACAGGAATGCTTAGCTCACACGGGTGTTCCTGCAAGATGGCAGATTGTCTTTATCTGGCTGTGGCTTTATTCAGCTGTGCTGAAACTACAAAATCCCATCATGCATCTGGGAGTCATGCCTGTGGCTGTTAAGTCTTGCAATGCATTGTGGGACCTGTAGTTCCACAACAGTTGCAGTCCCAAGGTTGTCTAGCCCCAGGCTTACTGCTTTTCCCTGATTCAAGGAGGAAATACACATATCCTCTGCAACAGGACTAAGTGAAAGGATGCCGAGGCTTTTCACATTACATTTAAACAGCCCATTTGTTGTAGGGGGCGTGGCTATCAGGATTCCCAAGCCTGTAAGCTAGTCTATCAGCAAACATCAGTAGGCCACACCTACTCCTGTCTTCTGGATTGACAGCACTGCATTTGTTGCTGAAACCCTCCCAATGTGAGCTGCAGTGTCTGGGAGGGGGAGTATGTGAGACACAAATGGAGGATTTGGCTCAGTCAGGGAAAGCAAAGACATTTTGTTTACTTTGATCTTGTGCATCACAAAATAACTGGTTTTGGTATTTGCCTAAACTGTCATAAAGGAGCAAAATTACAGACTCGCATGAGGAATGAGGAACCATAACTGCTGAGCAGGAGTACACCCTACATATACAATAAGCAAATATGACTACTTCATGCCATGCTTCAGAAGATTTCAGATGGTGAGGGGCATCACTAAACCCAGGGGAGTCTTAGGACAACATTGTTGGACCGCTGCATCTGGTTAAATGTCCCAAAGTTCTTCAAAGTTCTGTTCTGGGACACCCTGGAACTAATCAAACTCAGTGCTGCACGGATGTGCAGTTCAGGTGTGCGTATGACGGCGTACAGCCATGTTCCCCCGTAGGGAAGAACAGGATGCTACACGCAGCACCTGTCCCTCCCAGGAACGGCCTGATCTGGGCGTGCACGCCCCGAATCAGCGCAGTGCGAATGAGGCCTTACAGTTCAGAGAATGTTTTCCTGCACCATTATGAATGGCCGGAGTTAAACTTTCACCAGCTGCAATGATTGAAGACATACAATAGTAAATAAGTATTGTTAAAAAAAAAACAAATACATTTTACTATTGGTATGTTGTGTCCCCAAAGTGCTCTATTACATTTTACAATTTAGGAAATGCACTTAGCATTATTAGTAATGTGACCCCCTTGCTGACTTATCCTACCCAGTTTGGCACGCAGATTCATTTGCGTTTTACAAGTCTATTTTAGAGTGCATGTAGACACCACTTAGGCTACAGGTTGTGTTCCTTGAATACCCATTTGGGTTGCATCTGTGCAGTTGACACTCCCCTGAAAAAGGGGGAGGACTACTAAACACTAGGCACACTGCTACAGAGCGCGCTAATTTAGAACAATTAAAATGCACTACAGGTTAGATTTGGAAAACTGATTCTTATAGCCCATTGTACAAATGTAACATGGACGTGTCCTTTAAGATTTGAACAAACACTGGTACTGCTACCACTCAGATTTATTAAAGGTATCACAGGCGAATTACTGAATTTGAGCTATTAGTGCATTAGAATAAAGCAATATAGGTTACGGCTGTGTAAACAGTATTCCACCTAAGATGCTCATGACTTAATTGCTGTGAGGTTGGCTGATTATGAGAACAAGCAACGAGCGAGACTGGGCACAGTGCGCACTCTGATAATTATCTGTGTGGCAGGCAGGATTTATGGCGCTGCATGATGTATTCTCCGTCCTTTTCCCCCGGCAGAGGTGAAGGGCAATCTATAAAAGCTGTCATTAATGCTGAGCCAAAACCTGTTATGACTTTTTTTCTCCAATACCATATAAGATGTGCTCCTCTTGCCCATAACCATATCCTGGGCTGCTCACATACAAGAAATCAGAAATTTTGGATAGGGGCACTGTCCACTTGTTTAAAAAAAAAAAGCCTGCGCTGAGGCTGCCGAACTCTCTGAAATTGCTTGTTGCCCAATTATTGTCTTACTGATCCAATTCAGTACTTTCTAAATCTCTAAGCATAAGTGTGCAGAGCAGTGAAGTTATGCCTTCACGGGTTGCATACTTCTTCTTGACCAGGAAATCATAGCACTGAAACCGGAGGTTTGGCATGCCTGTCCAGCAATAAGCAATTTCAGAAGGTGGTCAGCAAATGAAGTAGAGCTGCCGCTAACGATTATTTTCAAACTCGATTAGTTAGCCGATTATTAAGTTCGATTAATCGGATAAAAAATAAAATACATTTTTAAAAATGGCTCTTAGCTGGTGGCATTCTGCATTGCGCTGTATATTGTACTATTGGTAGGTTTTGTAGTCCTGTATAGCTGGTGGTATTCTGCATTGCGCTGCATAATGTAGTATTGCTGGGTGTTGTAGTCCTCTATAGCGAGTGGTATTCGGCATTGCACCACTGTATAATGTACTATTGCTGGGATTTGTTGTACACCTCTGTAGCTGGTGGTATTTCACATTGCGCTGCATAATGTATTATTCCTTGATTTGTAGTCCTCTATACTGCGCAATGCAGAATACCACCAGCTATAGAGGAATACAACAAATCCTAGCAATACATTATACAAACAGTGTATAATGTATTGCTGGGATTTGTATTCCTATATATAATATACAGCACAATGTACCATCAGCTATAGAGGAATACAAATCCCAGCAATACATTATAGAGCACCATGTGTGGGAAAGTGCAGGCTTACCTGAGCAGTCTTCCAGCAACTTGTTTCTGAGATCGGCCTGTCTATCGGCGGCTGTCATCCGCCCATACCTGCTCCTCCTTACTTCTCCCCGCGTCCTGTTGCCGATCGTGGATTTAGGCTGGCGGTGAGCGTGGGCAGGCGGATCTGGCAGCGGCGAGCGTGAGGTGGGGAGGTGGTGTGGCGCGCAGCGTATGGGGAGCCGTGAACAGGGCCAACCAATAGGAAGCCGATTAATCGATGATTGAAAAAGTCAACAACTTTTTCAATCATCGATTATAATCGATTATGTCAATTAGTTGTTGCAGCCCTAAAATGAAGCCTACATATTTCTTAGTGTCGTTTGCTGTTAAAGTTGCAGGCCCCAGGACTGTCATTTTGTTACTGGCTGCACTGCCAAGCGAGTCACTCCCATGGAACATTCATGCAGTCAGTGAAGTGGGAGAAGTCTGAAATCTAGTCCAGTAATTCACTTGGCTGTGAAAACCAGGATCTGGGTGATATTGTAAACCTGGAAATGTGCACCCTTAAAGTCTAACACCCAACAATGTTTTAATTTTTGGTTTTATATAGAGTGATGAAGAATAACATTTTCTTTCAGGTTTTTATATCAGTCTTTGGCCCCTTTGGGGTGATTTTTCCCTCACTTTTTGTCCTTATGACCCCTCTACAAGAAATGGGTGGAGCAGCCGTCACAAGTACATGAGATATGGACAGCAATATAAAAAAAAAAACTCTACTAAACATGAATTCTGTCTCTTCATTGAAGAGATTTCCTATTACTTCCTGTCCTGACAGGAAGTGAGGGGAAATCTTCCAAATAGATTAAAAATCTTCACTGCTCTATCCAAGATTTAAAAAAAATCTACCATTTATCGCAATCATTGTACCATACTTTTGGTTGTAATAAAAATCCTTATATTCTATTCAGTTGCACATTTAGCCATTTCGTTGCCCCTTTATGGCAGAATCGTTGGCTGTATACAGGGTCACAACTACTCTCCAGGCACAAAGGAATTTGCACCTCCACTTTACCAGCAGTATTAGATTATAACACTTACACATTTCAGGGCATTGGGGATCTTTTTTCCTTATCCCAGTAAAACTATGTACATCCACCAGCTCCCTTTTTTACTGGCACTGAAAGGAGCAGGGCAGATGTCTGCACAATGAGATGTTGAGATCTTGGAATCTGCCCACTGTACTCGTATGCTTGTATGTGCATTATTTTATTTGTACTTATTTATTAAAACTATTAGCTGCAAAAGCAGGTACGCTCTGTTCTTTTGTTGCTTTAGCACATTTCTTCACCGTCAAGAGATACAATAAGATGCCAGCAATTTGTAGGCTAAATGTTTCCCTGATGAGCGCGTTCCTTTGTTTCTTTTTATTTCCTCACATTAAAAAACCTCCTCATAATCACAGAGCTAAATGCACCATGTATAGGAGCGATTTTATTCCCTCCACCATATAGCTAACAACACTGCAGGTTCTGTGCCACTGCCCCACACACTGCCTGATCCTAGGACCACAGCATGTCTGCATTTTACCAATAACATCCATTTATACAGTTGGGTGAATGTGAGAGATTCAAATCCATGGAAAAAATTCAACCAGAACCCACCTTTTTCAATGTTCCAGCCCGCGTGCCCACAAAGACCACGGAATACCCATCGTAACTGTAAGCCGCCACACTAGCCATGCCATCGGTCTTCTCTTCAAACAGGGGGAGGCCCTCAATCACCTTCAGGCCACCAATGGGCTGATTCAGAGCCAGGCCGCAGAATAATTCATTAATATGGATAGGCTGAAAGAGAAAAGAGACATTAGATTGACCACCTCAGACAGCAGGAGATTGTCTCCAAGGTATGTGCATGTTACTGCTAACACAACTACTGTGGTTTTAATAAAATAGTCCTACTACTTCCCTTTGCTGGCCAGCAGGCTTCAGTGCTGGAGAATTTGGTGTCAAGATATTACCATGAAATCCCCCACCTATCTGCTCCTTCCTTTGCTTGGTGTAAACTGACCTATGCTGAGGCATGGTGACCCACACATACCTTGAGGCCTTTGCTTTGTAGGAAATGGCAAAGTGGCTGCCATGTTCACTGCAGTGTGCAGCAAACGCCTCCCTGGGTCCGGTTTGTCTCTATCATCCAGGGACAAAATTACACAAGTGATTTTAATCTTTTGCTTCTAGAGATTGAATCACTTGCTGGCAGCCACATCATTAGGCTGGAACTTACAAGAGCTTTTTAGTAGATCAGCTGTGCTATATAAAAATCAATAGAAGTAACAAATGGATTACTGAACAGATGGAACCAATGGCTCCTTAAGGAGTAAGCTACACAAATAGCATGTTGTACCAACAATTGCACAAAATTGAAGCATTGTTCTATCAAGACTCAGTCCCGTGATTCGACTACATTCTACTTGCGTAGCTTGTTATAAGGAGCGATTTGTTCTGTTAAGTGATTGGCTGCTGCGCCTAGCGTACACTCCTAGTAGCACATTTGGAAGCATAGTCTAAATCCCATTATTCGTGTACACTTACACTTCAGGCATCATTGCACCCATTAGGACAAAGGCAGCAAAAACAGCTATGACTAGACAGAAGAGTGTCCTTCCCAAACAGCCAGCAGAGATTTTATTTCATCAGTTTACCTGGTATAGGCACTTTCTGCAACGCTTTACAAGACAAAAATAAAAAAAACACAGGCCCCTTCCCCTCAGTCCCTGCACCCCCATAGGAGCATGTACCATCCAGCTTACCTCCGCCACAGTGTACACCAACGCACTCATACAGCACTCATAAGCACCCATACAATTCACAGAGAAGCCAAATAAAAAACACTACATTTTTTTTTTTTTTTTTTAATAGAGTTTTTCCACAGGTATACATAAAAAATGTGTCATGTTAAAATTCTTGGCTTTATGTATAATTTGCAATTATAGATGTACAAAGAGGCGGATATAACAGACTCCTCCATCCATGCTAATCTCCTGGTGTGAGGTTTGTTGCAAGCACCCGTCAGTGCATCCGTGGTGGATGACGTCATCACACAGATAATGCAGCAGAGAGAGGGGGGGGAAAAAAAATTGTGACAGCACTGTGCCAAATTGGCATGGCAGCATAGAACATTGCCACCCTGAAAAGGAAGGTAGGTCTGAAAAGAGAGTCTGGCAGGATCAACAGGACCATTTACCAGTAAATGAAAAGAAAAATTAGAAAGCACTTTACAGCCTAAGCCCTCGTTTACACCTAGGCGTATTGCATATGCGCGACCGTCGCGCGTTTTTACCGCGATTCGCGGTAAAAAAGTTGCGACCGTCGCGCGTTTCCGAAGGCTACTTGGCTGTATCCCAATGGAAAACGCCCTACAAAACGGCCCAAAGTAGTACCTGGACCTTTCCAGGCGTGGGCTGTTTTGTAGGGCGTTAGGGACGGGCGGAAATACGGCAAGGTGGGAACGAGACCATTGCCTACAATGCAATTTATATTTTTGACCGTTTTGTAGAGCGTTCGTCCAGGTGTGAACGAGGGCTTAAGGTGACGTGCTTTCTTCTTCACTCCATGATTTCATATTTGCCTGTGCATATGCTTTAAGGCCTCCTCTCTCAACCTTTTCACCACAGACCAGTAAGTTGTAGAAAGTGTTAAATAGAATGGAATGGCATTACTAGAGAGTATGACACCCAGAGAGGATTATTTTACAACACTCCCCTGCTCTATACAGCAATGGTAATTAAATGAAACAAAATATGAAAATTGTACTGTCCCCTTACATTGGTGGTCCAGGGAAAAGTGTCCCCTTACATTGGTGGTCCAGGGAAAAGTGTCCCCTTACATTGGTGGTCCAGGGAAAAGTGTCCCCTTACATTGGTGGTCCAGGGAAAAGTCTCCCCTTACATTGGTGGTCCAGGGAAAAGTCTCCCCTTACATTGGTGGTCCAGGGAAAAGCCTCCCCTTACATTGGTGGTCCAGGGAAAAACCTCCCCTTACATTGGTGGTCCAGGGAAAAGCCTCCCCTTACATTGGTGGTCCAGGGAAAAGTGTCCCCTTACATTGGTGGTCCAGGGAAAAGCCTCCCCTTATATTGGTGGTCCAGGGAAAAGCCTCCCCTTATATTGGTGGTCAAGGGAAACATTTCCCCTCACATCAGCGATCAGTGTAAAAGTGACCACTTATATTAGATATCAAATAGTCCTTCGCCATTGGTGGTCATTGTAGGTGAGAGATAAGTCTGCCAACTGCTCAAGGAATCCCTAGCAACTTCTGCAGGAATCCAAGTTGTCCTGCAGATAAGACCTTAGGAAACCAGAACCAGTCACAGGAAAGGAAACCGATACATAATACATCCCTGCAATGAAAAAGGTGAAAGACAATGTAGAGCGGGGCATTGCACATTCTTAAACTAGAACTCAGAACTTACACTACCATATGAGGTAAAAGCAGACAAAAAAAAGTGTTCTAGAAAAAGAAAAAACAATAAGTGCACCTTGCCTGAGCAAACAACAGATCCCTTAGTAACATTTCTTGCCCCCGAGACTGGCATGCATAAGGAAGATCAGACGTGGGATTGGCATGCTCTGTCATGGCTCACTGCCAGGCCATAACAGCTATGCTGAATGTGTTATGTGTTAGCACAGGTGCAAATGCACAACATGCAGGGGGTAAAAAGAAAAAAAATACAGTCAGCGGGATGGGTGTGCTGACTGATTCCCTGCCGCACGCACCAATTGAGGGTGAAACTACACAGATGTAAAACCGTACTGACACCATCTGTTGTTCCACAATGTCGGTTTTGAAAATTGAGCTGCGACATCAGGTAAACCCCAATCAATAGGAGTGTGTGTATATGTATGTATATGTGTGTATGCATGTATGTATGTATTGCTTCTGACCTGAAGGAGAGGTTCACTCTCAAAAGCTTTCTGTGTCCTCAATCTTTTTCTATTTTAAAAAGGGAAATATCAGGGGTCTGTTTAGACCAACAATATTTCCCCAAAGTCCTTAAAAGTAAAAAATAAAATATAAAAAAAAAATGTCAAAGTTTATAAAAAATAAATAAAATATATTTTTTTTAAATTTGGAAAAAAAAGTTAAAATAAAAAAAGAACATTTTCGTTTCGGCCTGACATTTTTTTAAATTTTAATTTCGGTGCACCTCTAGTAAATACACCTCTGCACATTCCATGCATTTCCACTGACATCAACACCAGCTACAAGGCAATTGCATAGGACAGGCAGTGTTTAGAAATATATAATACAAGTAGACCTGGGCACCGTCCCTTCATCTCCCTACACAACTTCAGCTGCCAACAACTCTAGATCTGTTCTTTGTTTGGCCATGTAGTCTCCACCAAAATAATCCCAATGATTTTTGTTTTTATCTTGTAATAAAAAGTTGCTTCAGGTTTGCAGCATTTTACATTATGATGGAAATCTATTATGTTAAAGTAAGAAAGACAAAGAATTGCTGACACTTGCCAGAAATGTGGGTAGACTTCAAGGCCCGTACTGGCCAGAAGAGAAATTATGAAGTCACAGCAGCTCACATTAGTTCATCGTGGTTTTATAAGAGTGTAACGGTAATATATCAGCATCAAGGAACATTTTGGGGCCTTCTAAATACATTTTGCATTATCCAAAAATAAAAAAAGATTTTTCCTAACAGAAGACAATTCTTTCTTGCAGGACAATGACACTTTAACTGCACTTGCACATTAATCAGCAGCGTTCTCTGCATTACGCCCATGTAATTGAGGTTCTACACTTAATCGCTAACAGACTGTGAACTAGCCTTTACCTCCTCTTTACAAAAAGAAGTACATGGTATGGAGAGTATGTGCTACACAAAGGCATGACGGTTTTGTGAGAGAGCCCTGTACTTAGGCAACCAAATCACTAGGAATGTGTAGAAGCCATTGTGGGAAATGACCTTTCCTTTGGGCCCTTTTGATGGGAGGGACTTTCTTTAGGATGTCTGCAATCAAAATCTTCTGCAGGTTTAACCCTTCTCAAAAGGGTCCCGTATATAGGATGCCATTTTTACCTTTCTTTTTAAAATTGCTAGACGCCTGGCTGCCATGCTTTTTCACTGGCGTTAGCACTTTCTGCCATACTGACCTAGGACATGTACGCAGATCAGAAATGTCATCCTAATCCTGACTTCAGGCTCTGCTTTGCTCTCTCTACTCTGACAAACAACCACATCACTCCCCTCAATTTACCCAACGCTGGTCTGGCATGAATCTTGGCTGGGAAACATCAGGAGGGGCATATCTTGTAAGGTAGTGGTCTTCCATCAGCAGGATGATGTGGCAGTTACTGACATTTACCGCATGTACATAGATACATACTGCATGCATACCGCGCACGCATGCAGTAGCGGCATCATTTTGGGTTGTCTCAATGCTGTCTCATAACCCATTTATGCTGCTGCCCGTTTCCCCCAACTGTGCATTCATGATAGAGAAGCAGATTGTGAAGTTGTTACTGCGTACAGGCAGATCATCAGTTTCGTATTGCCGACTGGAATTTAACGTGTGGCCTTGCACCATGGGTCCCCCTCAACCAGTGACGACAGCAATAGGTCCTGTGCATGTGCAGTGTGTTGCCTCCCACGCTCCCAATGTTTTCACCAATATGGCTTCAAGATCCCATGCATGCACGGTAGTGGCAGTAGACTTCCACACATGCACAGGATCTTGCCGCCATATTATTCACTTCCAATAAAAAGTCGACAGTTGTCTGTGAAGCTGTAAGCAAACTCCTGTTTGTGTACAAGCTCACCCTGCTGCCAATGTATGACACACATCGGAGGCGGTGATAGGGTTAAGGTGAACCTGGGCCCAGACTGTGCACACTAAAGTATGAACATGTTCTGAACAAGCAGTAGAGGCACATTAAAACAATCCCTCATTCATCTCTGTATCTACAAGCACTGTGGAGCAAATTAACTTTCAAATATCACAACACAGAAGTAAATGTAAGCTTCTAATAAAGTGCAAAAGCCTCCTACAGAATTTGAGCGAGAGATTTACTCTCACTTACTATTTGACGGGTGCCAGACTGAAAAGGAAACACGGGAAAACCCCGGCCCGGAACAGGAAGTGAGGCGACATCCTCAGTCAGTAAAAAGTCACTCGCACTCCGATATTCTTCAGTTAATAGTTTTTTTTGGGACACAGCACAAGGGTTAGAACCTCTGTTGGGTTTAAGTGCTTGCTATGTTACCATGGAAGAGATTTCTCTAGAGATTTTTCCAGTCAATCTATTTATTGACTAAATGGTGCAGCATTTCCATGCAACGTTTCGGAACCATAAGGTCCCTTCATCAGGCAAACAGAAAGGGCCTTACAGTTCCGAAACGTTGCATGGAAATGCTGCACCATTTAGTCAATAGATTGACTGGACGTTATATTGGAGTGTGAGTGACTTTTTACTGATCTCAAGTTATCTGCAGAGGCATCTGCTGTCGCACCGCACTCACCCTGCAAGCTGGGTCTTGGATCAGGTGTGCGATGGGTTATCTTGGATTTCTAATCCCCACTTAAAGGACACAGACAAAAAACTAAACACAAAGCAAGAGTCTGAGAACCTTGAGGGAGGATTTTATTGACTTGTGTCCCCCACTGGGGAGATCTCCCCTTCACTTCCTGTCTAGGTGACAAGTATTAGACACAGCAGGAAGAGAAAGCAAGTGAGAAATCTCTTCCATGGTAACATAGCAAGCACTTAAACCCAACAGAGGTTCTAACCCTTGTGCTGTGTCCCAAAAAAAACTATCAACTGGAGTTTGACTTTCTCACTAGAGGGCTGCTTTAAAGAAATTGGCACAATCCTGAGGCTGAATAACCAGGCTGCCACGTCGACAGCAAGACTGTTCTGGGACACCCAGTGAAATGTCACATCTGCGGCTACTGTGCCACAAATAACAGGGTGTCGCTGTAGCTGTGCAGCCTTTGAAGTGGCTTCTCAGGGAAACCACATTGTATTTAGAGCAGCGCTGTCTGCCGTCTCCATCCCTGCCAGAAGTGTGCGAGCATGAAGAATGCTGAAATGAACAGCACGTGAGGCCACATTGCAGACGGAAAGACGAGAGCGAAAACTGGGACGAACACATGCAGGAATCGAGTCTGGGGCACGACGGAAAAAATTAAGGAGCGGCGCACGCTTAATGAAAATAGTTCAGACTTAATTACATTTACATAATGCCTGCTTTCTCCAGACCTCCCACTTCATGGGCTTATTTGCAGCCTTCTGTTTTTTCCCCCTCACAAAACAAACGGCAGTCTGGAGCAGCCGTTGTGCGCAATTTAAAAATGTGCAGATTGCTACGACTAATGATCATGCATCTGGATGCAGAAGGGAAAGCACAGTTCCAGCTATCTTTGCGGAAAAGAGCTTTACAAACATAACAAATATCTTCTATCGTATATCTTTTTCACATTTTATTCACGCCTACCCGATTCTCACGAAGCAAAATGCAGACTCTGCATTATCAGCCATTTTAGGCTACCGGAGGCTAAGCGGAGAGTTCTAGGAATGACATAGGCTGCGTTTTGTAAATCTCAGGTATGGCCAGTTATGATGAGCTCATGCACATCCCTCCTTGCATGTGAGAATGTTTAAGGTGAACTGAGGGGAAGTTTTCTTTCACTTCCAAATCCCAGGTGATAAGCAGGGTCACCAGAAGGAGTGTTTCCATTGCAAGACTTCCCCATCTATTCCTGTTGTGAGGACAATCCAAAATGTGTGCTTTTTTTCACATTCAGTGATACAGTTGTCAGGACACATAGAAAAGGGAAAATCTCAGGGACACATAATAAAAAAAAACTTGACAGGGGTTCGAATCCCTCCCCACTGTAAAGTTGTGCCTTCAGTTGTACTGAAATTTTATTCTGTCAACACTTTCAACCCCGCAGTTGTAAATAGCCTTTCACATGAGCGGTCTGTTTTTCATATCAGGCGGACCCAATAGAATGCCTAATACGTCTGTTTACACCCAGTTATCCCCGCCTCCAGCCAGGCTGGGAAAAACAGAGCAGAAATCCGTTTTGATGGACCTGATCGTGCTGGATCTGATGTAGACTGAAACATGTCCATTTACATCCGATTCCCCATTGACAGACATGTCTGGACAGACTGATGTCTAAGGCTGCAACCAACTAATCGATAATGAAAATAGTTGGCAACTATTCTCATTATCGATTAGTTGGTTGGATCCCCTAGCTCTCTCCTCCACGCTGGGAGTCTGTTTCATCGACTCTGTCCCCTCCGAACAGAGGGCACATTAAGCAGTGGGCGGTTGCAATAGCCAGCCTGCTATAGACTATTGCAATTTGAGATGGCCAATAGCAGGCTGGCTATTGCACTAGCCCAATACCTGCTGTATTTACATTCAGCTGCCGTCTGTGGAATCTTGCCACTGGCAGCTGTCATTCCCTGGTTGAAGCTATTCAAGCGCCATGTGCTTACAATACAATTATTAATTTCAATGGCAACCCAAATGCGCCTCACACCCACAGTGTGATCCCCTGCACTGGAACGCGCGGTACCACAATGCCATGCGTTCCAGTGCAGTGTGATTGCTAAAAATTGTGAATGCAGTTTTATACTGAAGTAAACTTTAGGTTTGTAACACTCCATTGGTGTATTTGATTTTAAATTAAGTATTGAATCTAATTTTTTGCATCCGATTAATCGAAAAAATAATCAGCCAACGAATCGATTATGGAAATCATTAGTTGCAGCCCTACTTATGTCACAACATTGTATCAGGAGGCATGCATCTCATGCTCGTTATGTGTAATCTGTTTCATTAACATTTTACAAAGACATTGAGGACATCTCAGTTTGGAAAGGCCAACGAGAACATTGAGGGATTATACACTTATCATGCATGTACACTCCATGTGCTGCATATATTGTTTATTTATTGTGTATATAGTGTGATAAAATGTTATGTCAACATGAGCGAATGTCCTTTTGGAACTACAATTAAAGCCCAATATATATTTGTGTGAGTAATTTGTATATTCCATCCAATCCCAAACATCAGTTGTGACATTATGGGAGTCTAAAGATTCCCATGTGTATTAGGCCATTCTGGTTATTATAGGGAGGAATAGGTGTAAGAACAACAAGATATATTAAGAGGCACTCGATAGAAAAGAAAAGACGGCAGAAGAGAGGAAGAAAAAAAAAAAGAAGAGGGGGATGAGGGGTGTTAATAAACTATGACAGAAATGACATTTTTGGACAATGAATATTCAGAGGATTTAAACTGTATCCCAGAGATCCAGGATTGTCTGGTCCATTCCTACATCTCTCTCCCAGGAGATCAACGTTTCCATTTTATACATTAGATTTAACTTGCATGTCTACATTGCCAGAGATGGAATCTTGGTCATTTTCCAGTATCACAGAATGGGCATTCTAGCGTGTCTCATCATCATTTCATCACTATTACATCGAAGCATATTGAGTTATTCCAATTAGACTTTATATGACCCCCATACTTGAGAATTTTACTCAATTAAACCTTAACTTGTAGTTAACTTGTACTCATACATGTGCTGATAATCTTCAAGAAAATGTTATTTTGGATCTAATATGTTGCTTATCAAAGTGGATATGCAGATCCCCTAACTCTCCATCACCTGCTTGAAAGTACTTCCTGCATGATGGAAAATCTGATGGCACAATTACCACATTTGTATGGAATGCTCCAGTTCAGCAGAGGCCCAACAACTAGTTTTGAGATTTGGCGGTGTAATATCTACTAACAATTTGACAGCCTGATGTGTTTGGAGATTGTATTGTGTGGAGCAGGTCACACAGTGTCGGTCAATGCTGAGTCTAGCCAATCTGGGTGACTGGTGCGTGTACTGCCTCAGTGGGAAAGAGCGGGTTACACGGGACACATTGGCTCCAATCCTATTAATCTTGTTTAAGTGGATGCAGCACTATTTGCCTTTCTTAGTTCCGAGCAGAGTGCGAGTGACAAGCCAAAACCATACAAAAGGAATTTAATTAGCTCACAGAGCGCCAAACGGAGCAAGTTCCACTACGAGAAAAATCAATTTTTAATAATGTTATACATTAAGCAACAAATCTTCACATGTGCCTTTCACACTCCCTCTATGCTTTGCTCTGCTCTCGTCCAAACATGGTGGACAGATGGGCACAAGCCCAGCAAACAAAGGAAACCGATGGACGGTGCAAGGCAACAGCTGAAATCGAGAGGGGCAGAAGATCAGAGGTTACTTTGACCCTATCCTGTGGAATTTAAGACTTCACTCATGCTATATGTTCTCTTGAAAAGCTTACCTTCAATCTAAAAGAATATATGCCACAGAATAACTCAAGCTCTCACTGAAAAAACACTGCATTATGGAAGCCTGTTGTTCCTTTAATGTTTTACGGTATAGTTAAAAGAATTTCCATAACTTTCAAAGAGTATGCTTACAGTATACACCAAAATGTAAAAGTTAAAAAAAAAAAAACAATCCACAATAGTATCTAACAATTCTTACCGTGCTGATACAGTTGAGCTCCTTATTAAGTAACCAAGGCAGCGATAGCTTCCCTTCTCCACGGTAGCAAGACTGTATCCTTTCCTTGATGCGTTTGTTGATCTGGCTGAGGGTGAAGAGGCACAGAACGGACTCTCGAGGAGGGTTGGACCTATTCTTCTGCCCCTGAGAGAAAACAGTGAACAGAACATCTTCATCTTCTGGTATGCCCAGCTCCTGTGCCAGCTTACGCCCAGGACGATTAAGGTAGGCACTCTGAATAAGCCTGTACTCCACTCCATCCTTGGTGCAACCAATGGGGAACTCAACATAAGAGTAGAATTCGGGATCTGCTGAACACATTCGCACAATTTTAGACGTAAAGAACTTCTCCCCGGTGGCATCGTTTACTGTCTGTTGGGTGTCTAGCTGGAGCGTCAAGAAATAAACAAACCCGCCACTGACGAAGCTGTAGACATAGTATATATCAAATGAAGGGTGCTGGGAAAGAGTATCCGAAGGGACCTTGATCTGAGAAGAGACAAATTCATCTTGGTACACCAAACGGAACATCTCTTCATTCTCCTCATTTCTCACCAGCTTGCGACTTGAAAGCGTAGGAAAGTACTCCGACTTGCCGTCAATGGAGGTGCCAATGAAGAGTTTACTCTGCTCACCATCTTGCGGCACAATCACCCCTGTCATGGAGTCTGGCTCTCGTGCTCCAGATAAGTAATGTTCTTTGCGGTGGTGGGGCTCACCCAATTTGAATAGATTGTCCAGTCTCAAGAACTGACATATGCCTTGCCATACACTACCGCAAGCCACCAAACGGTTCCCAGTGTAGTCAATCAACAAAAGTCTATTAACGTTATCTGAAGGGAAGAGCTTGTGCGTGCAGACACGCACAGAGGGCGGGGGGTAACAGCTGGCATTATCATCTATGGGACCAGTCAGGTGGGAGCGCAACTCTGTAAGGTTCTCCGATAACTTATAGACTCTGTTCACCGCACCGATATAAACGTCCCCTGTGTATTTGTGCACGGCGAGATGAGTCAGAGAGGTGTCGGACACTGTGAAGCTCGGGAATGGGGAGCTAGCTGCATTGGTGCTAGAGAACCACAGAAGAAAAAAGTAAGGGGGGATCAAGTCGTTTACCGGCCTCATGGTGTAGTCTTAGAGCAGTCCAACCTTTTCCACCAAGAGATGAACTGTCAGGGTCCAGATTGATTTGTCAAGATCCACTTTCAGCTCAATATCCTCGGGCCTGAAAGAAGAAAGGGAGGGGGACAAGGTAATTTTTATCAAGAATATTGTAACAATTAAAAAAGCAGTAGAGAAAATATGCAAAGCACTGCTGTGCTAATTCAACACACAAGGCACAAACCTTCACATACTTTCATGTAAAGGATTGAGAGAGTGTGTGTGGTGTATACACATTTTATAGATTTTTTTTTTAAATTTAAACACGTATAAAGATCAACATGAAGTACATAATCTAATCAATATCTGTTGTCAGGGTTTAAAAATAAAAAAAAGTTTGTGTGTATGATTTATAATTTGTAACTCTATATGCACGGCTCTGCTTTACGGCTCATCGCATACTCTCCTGAGGAAGACTACAAGCAACCATGCCAAAACACACACACACACACACACTAATGTCAGTCTGGAAACCTGCCCTGAAAAATGACATGCAGAAGTTGCTGGAGCAAGTGAATGTAGACAGGAAGTGGGTGCATAGAGACTGCAGGAGATCAGGAACAAAGGATAATTAGAAAAAGGAGAAAACAGTATTTTAACTATAAAAAAAAGTCAACTGTTCATAATACAAAGTTCAGAGCAAAGCAATTGCCATTCACACCACATCCAGATCCATCTCCAGACCAGACTGTTTCCAGACCCAAGATGCATCCTAATGTATCCCTATGCTATTTTTGGCCTCTATTCACACCAGCGCAGTCCGTTCCAGACCAGACCAGAAAAATACTGCAGGTCTCATTTTGTCTGGCCTGGAATGCACTGGAACACCAAAATGCATGGAACGCACTGGACTGCACCTGAAAGCCCATTCTAAGCTTTAAAAAAACAACCCAGCTCCGGAACACGGCAAAATATAATTTTTTTTAAATATGGTTATCACTTTTTCCCCTTCACCGTGCTGCTGATCTCCTCCGGCCCCTTTGCACCCACTTCTTTTCTACATGTACACGCTCCAGTGCCAGCAGTACATCAAGGTTCGTGGTCTGGATAGGGACTATGGAAAAGCATGCCAGCTCAATAAACGTTGCATGTACAACACACACAAGAGCAATTGGAAGACAGATGTGCCTGAACATGGACAACACCATTCCGACGCCCATGAAGTTCCGGGCGGAGGGCAGGTGGGTTTTTTTTTCTACATTTAGCCTTGTTGAGGGCAGGGAGGGCTAAAATGTAGAGCAGGGGAGCCGCCACTCATTTCGTACAAGTGATCTGGGCGGCTCTGCTCCTACAGATTTTCTGACCGGCTCCTTCGATCAGCTGATCAAGGGATGCCGGCCAGACAGCCGCACCCACTGTGCGAATTTCACTAATAGCAGTACATTTGGGAATATTGGCCCCAATTATCAGTCCTACAGATAATTGGGGCCGATATTCCTAAATGTACCGATAACAGTAATTGCAAAAATATACCTGTAAGAAAAAAAAGTTAGAATACTTACGGACTTCCTTTCAGCAAGTTTCCGGGGGAACAATGAATACCACTAATCTCCCAAGAAGACACTCCAGTTCATGGCAAGAGCATCTTCTCATGAGATTTGGGATCCTCATTGTTCCCAGGATCTCACCAGCAAAGAATCGTGACATCACCCTGGCCTTGGCCTCACAGACAAAAATAACTTTTTTCCTTATAGGTACATTTTTGGCCTTATAAGCTATGGTAATATTTACAGGGGTAGGGGGCCCCTGATCTAATCAGCATTTTGCTGCAAGGTCCGCCTTAACCTTATATTTGGTTTTGAAATCAAAGAAGCAGATACAACTTGCAGAGCGAGTCCTTTGTTTTCATGCACTTCCAGATCTTCTTTAAAGGCATCAGTAATGACCAGGGGAAAAAAGCCTACTAGATAAAACAGATCCAAAACCAAGCAAAGACTGAGTGAAAGGACAGACATTTTATAGAAGGAGTGAAAAAAGAGAGCCAAGAGGGATTATAAACAGCAGTAAAATGGTTTTCTTCCAGTCTCTATAACTGCTTTTTAGGACTAAACACCATCCTGAGCCTTAGCGTGCAAAACAAAGGTTCCTGGTGCCAGATCTTCCTGTGCTACATTTTTTACATTGAAGTCCTTTTTGACCGACCTATACATTGATGATTACCAGTTTCCAATGATTCTTGAACATGTGACTGGTTCAGCCACCTCACCTGCTGTCTGGACTAGATGTCTGTGTTTGTACAAATTGTTTAACAACCAAGGTCATCTGGCATTTGGCCTCCAGGCAGCGACAGAAGCAGAAGGGGATATTTTTAGATATCTTTATTCTTTTTAGGGACATAGAAAGCTGTTGCTTCAAAGATGCTACAAGCAGTTACGGCAGAAGATAAACAAGCCAGCTTCTAGTAAGCCTGGTCGTAGATGGGCAGATATGTCCCCAAGAATAATGCATCTTCTGTCTGTGAGGCCAAGGCCAGGGTGATGTCACGATCCTTTGCTGGTGAGATCCTGGGAACGATGAGGATCCCAAATCTCATGAGAAGACGCTCTTGCAATGAACTAGAGTGTCTTCTTGGGAGATTTGTGGTATTCATTGTTCCCTCGGAACCTTGCTGAAAGGATAGTGACGTCACACCCTGCGATGCAAAAGATGAGGGGCTGGTAAGTACTTATCTAACTTTTTTTTCTTCTTACAGGTACATTTTTACCATACATATTACCATATGTACCGATATAGGGTTATATACTGCCATTCTCAATATGAATCCACCACGATATTTGCCTAAAGATGACAAGGCTTTTTAAAATCTTGATAGAACAGGTAACAATGGTGCCTGCTCACAGAGACATTGACTACCGCTCACTAGAGGGGTGTGTTATCATAAAAGGAAGAAAATTGTGTACCGATTAGAACTGCTGCTCAAAATTGGAGGCACTGTTTACTTTTACAGTTTTCCCAAGTCCAGTCTAGCCAAAATGGAGCACCTACTGGGCCTTAATTACATGTTCCAACCACTTTTTGACACTCCATGCCAAAAGACCAATAAAAGAGAACCATCACCAAACCTTATTAGTAAATGTCCTCCTGTGACCCAAAACTTAGCATATATCGGTTTTTGCCCGCTATATGCAGACAGTGCAGTGCCATGCTGCACTTGGGAAAGATCCAGACAATACTGCCTGACAGCTGGCTCTGCCACTCTAGAGCCAGAGCCAGCTTTGCCCGCCCCATGAGTGCTGGAGGAACAGAGGGAGGGAAGAGGGGAAACCCTGCGGGGAGCAGTGACTGACAGTCACCACTCTCTGCAGGGAAAAGATCATGAACTGTGTGATCAGTGGTTTGTGATTGCTCAGTTCTCGATCAATAGAGCCGACCAATGACCGCTTCAGTGTCCCATGTCAGCTCTAACTATGGGGATGAGTGTATTTGCTGGAGGAAAAGAGAGCAGCATCTGTCGATATCGGCAGGGCAGACCATGTCCATTTAATACTCAAAACCATCATAGGGATTTCAAAGTACCAGCATATTGGTTGCAATGTGAACTCAGCCCTTTTGGCCCAGAAAGTTGACTTCAGCTTGTATAAGATCAGTTTGCACGGTAAGCCTTTACCAAATTACGTAGTCAGGTCCATCGAGTTCAACCTATAGAGATGAAAGAGAAAAACAAAAACCAACAACCTAAAACAGAACGCTATGCCCACTGTTGATCCAGAGGAAGGCCAAAAAAACCCCTCTAAAGCAGGGGTCTCAAACTCAAATCCCTTGGGGGACACTCGACAAATTTGTTTTCCCCATAGGGGCCGCTCGCCAAATTTCATACTTTAAAATAAAATGTAACTATATCCGGTTTGGTAAAATGGACCCTAATAAAAAACACACAATAAGACCCCATTCACATCTGTAAATTTAGATTCAATTGGGGATTGCGTTTTCCTGCAGCAGGAATCCCTAATCTGGGTCTTTACAAGCAGCCGCTGTCACCCATTGAAGTTAATGATCAGGTGACAGCAGTTGCATGTAAACGTCTGCATAGTGCATGTAATATGTGATATTATTACATGCGGTTAGGAATCAATCACTCTCCCTGGACCCAATGATTGTGCAACTGGCCCGCGGGCCGGTACTTTGAGAACACTGCTCTAAAGCATTGTTCAATTTGCTATAACAGGAAAAATAGAAATTACTTCTTGATCCCATAAGGCAATCAGATATTCCCTGGATCAACAATCTCTGGTGCTTAATATACCTATAAGAACTCAATATCCAGTAATAGTCTGTGCATTTAGGAATGCATCCAGGTTTTTTTTTTTAAGTTAGAGGAGCGAGGTAGAAATAGCTCCTGGGGGAGTCTATTCCACATTTTCACAGCTCTAACTGTGAAGAATCCTTTCCGTATGCAAAGCTTGCATCCAGCATGCATTTGCAAAGCTTTCATCCAGCATCATGCAGAAGTCTTGAATCCTAAAGCAGATCCAGATCCAGTTTAGGGATGTTAAACACAGAGCTAAATAGAAGTGTCAGCCAGCACCAAAAAAGCGGTTAGCTGGCCTTCATCACAAAATGAAACCATTTAAAAGTAATTGACTCTGCCAAAAGTCAGTGTTAAGGCTCCAACCCTAATTAAAAATACTCTACATGGGCTACTAAGGTGTCCACATTGAATTGTGGGATGCAGGGGTCAAACCCTTATATGCACACAAAAAACATGAAGAAAGTTTGTTGCCACAGCAACAGAAGAAAGATTTCTATCACAGCGTGTGTTAAAATGCTATAAAGCTCCCCCCCCCCCCCCCCCAAAGGGGTAAATGTTGATTTTGGTGCTGAATGTTCTTCGTGAGGTGCTTTCAGTGGCAAAAACAAAAAGCGGTCCAAAGAAGGCCAGCAAAGAGTAAAAGGACTAGTCACCAGTACTACCTGTGGTTTCCATGCACCCACTTCCCACTCTAAGGCCTAGTTCACACCAGAAACTGCATCACAACTGCGTGTGTCAAAAATTGTATGCACACACTGACCCTGATTCTAACCAGGGGAAAGGCAGCCATTACTGTCCATGGGACCAGTC